TTGTGTGATCGGAGGATATCTGGATGCATATTATAAGACTGTCCTACATAAATGAGGAAAAGCTGAGGTGCCTTTATTATTCTTTTGTTCCACTCTTTGTTTCTATGGGGAATGCACTATCACCGTCTTCCTTTTAAACAAACAAAACTAAAACTTAAAAAAAAAAGGCAGCAATGGCTGTTGATAATAGCAATTCCAGTCCTAACAACCACTGGGAAGCATTTCTTGCTCAATTTATTCTACTTTTTCTACAGCAAGTTACAGTGGATCAGTATATTTGATTTGGGAGAAATGAAGTAACAGCTCCCCAAATTGAGCTTGAGCACTCCTGAATTTTGAGCGTGTTCAAATCTGGAAGGCAGGTGCTAGATTCCCTTTCTGAATATTAGCTATATCTGGAGAAGAGAAGTCAATTTCTGCTTCCATGGCTCAGAAGTGGAAATCCTCCTAACCTGGTTCTGTATCTAAAGCTGCCCAGGTCCAGAGCCTCCCCTCCCTTACTTTTCATTTTAAATTCTAGTGGGATCCACATACCTCCCTTGGTAGGCTTCAAATAAAGAGGTGCACCGTCCATTTAGTCCCCCCAATTCCTTCTTTGGGGGAGAGCCCAGGGCTGGGGCGGCAGGGGATGTGGGTGCGGGCCAGAGATGGGGCAGTAGGGGTGCGGGGGGTGGAGGGGAAGAGCCCAGGGCTGGGACGGCAGGAGTTGCGGGTGGGGGGAGAGCCCAGGGCTGGGGCAGCAAGGAAGTGCGGGTAGGGGGAGAGCCCAGGGCTGGAGCAGCGGGGGAGTGCAGGTGGGGGCCAGAGCTGGGGCAGCAGAGGGTGTGGGCGGGGGGCGGCAAAAAACCTAGAGCTGGCTCTGTTCCTACCATTCACAGCAAGCTGCAGATTTCAGTTCCATATTCCTTTCCCACACCCTTTCCTGTTGCTAGTGGCCAACGGAATGCTGGGAAATGTAGTTCTTTCCCTGCTCCAGGGCTGGCTCTATAGGCAGGGAGCTAACCAAGGAACTACAGCTCCCAGGGCCCCATGTTGGTTCTCAGCTCCCATGCTGGATTCTTGCGCCCCTTGCAAATCTGCCGCCCCAAGCAACTGCTTGCTTTGCTGGTGCCTAGAGCCGGCCCTGACTGCAGCCGCCTATGTACTGGAAATGTGGAATTTCGGTTTTCATGATAAGAAAAATAAATGCTCTGTTACCTACTTTTGTCAGAGATGCTTTGTGCAGTCTGTGCTCTGAAGAGGAGAAACCGCAGTTTGTGTTACTTTAGGGACATTAGACCAAAAAAATTTCCAAAACCAAAAAAAATTGTTTACCTGGGGCTTTTTTTACTGTTTCACTTTTTGTACAGTTGACTTCTCTAGTCATGTGCTGCTCTTATGGTGAATATTTATTAATAAAAGTATTTTTCAATATCTTTCTACAATTTAAAGTAATTGCATACCTACCATTGTCCTAAATTTTTAAACAGGCATATTCTGAAAGCATTGTGTGATAAACATTACATTTAAAACACCTGTTGTAAAATTTGATTTCTTCTGGATCTTCATTTTTGTGCTAAAATGCATATTTACTAAGCATAAATATATTTTGATTACATTACTATGGTTATTCAATCAATATAAAGTCTAAGCATACTGAAAAAATGATCACTTACTTTAGCAGCCCAAAACACGGTAAAAATTTAATAAAATTAATTACTAATGTGTTCTATCATAAGCCATGAATCACTTTTTCCATTGCCTTTACATGCTCAACACAGATACGGTCTTTCTGAAATGAAAAAGCTTTTTGTCTTGTTTTAGTCTGTAATGAGAAGATTACATAAGTAAAACATCATTTCAGGTCAGTGAGCTCCGTAGAACAGTACACGTTTGCAAAGTTTTTAAGGGTTGATGGGCATGCACTCTTGCACCCTCAATTTAGGTGTGCAAATATTTGTGCAATGTGTGCACTCATCAGTTTGGGAGCACACACGTGCATATGCACTCACAAAGCTAAATTAGATGCACTCTTTGGGGTAACTGCATCTAAAGTGTGCATGTCACAATTTCATATGCCTGTCTCGGAATCCTACTCAGTCCCAAATTTAGGTTGCTTATCTTTTGGGTGGTGGAAAAGCAGCAAATTATTTTCATTGTTGTCCATGTTTGGTTAAAAAAGTACTTGGTCTCCACTTGTCTTTTTTTTTAAATGAGAATAATCCCTATTATGTATCCCATTGCATAGCAGCAGTGCATCCAAGTTGAGGAATTATATGTCCTTTTACTCTCTTTCCTGACAGCAAAAGTTAAAAACATGGTAGAATCCAAGTTGCAAACTCCTGTAACTTATTAATAGAGGGGGTGATCGCACAGTTTAAAGCTGCGGTTCTCAACCGGGGGTCCACGGGCCCCTATGGATCCATGAGGAGAAGCCCTGAGCCCATGGGTTAAGTTGGACAGGGCACCGGGGGCATTGCCCTACAAACTGCAGTGCCTTAACCAAAGTGGGGCAGTCCCGGGGGCACAGACACACACCCCACCTCCTCCTCTCCCCTGCCTCCTGGCCAGCTTGGAAGGAGGAAGTTGGAGCTGGGCAATGCAAGGCGGCAGCTGCTGCTCTTGCTGGTACCATTGGGCGGACAGCTGCAGCACACCCCCATCCCAGAGCCCCAGCTGCTCCTCAGTTCCCAGCTCCCTTTGACTGCTCATGCAGCCAGTAGGAGCCACCCAGGTGGGGGGGACCTGGCTCGGGGGTTAGCAGAGCCCCTGGGAGCAGGAACCACACAGCCTCTAGGTTCCCCCCCCCCCCTTCTGCACCCTGAGCTACCCCCCTGCCTGCATACAGTTCCTAGCTGCACCCTGCCTGCACCCTTGAACAGTTTTCAAACTTTTTGAGCTGAGCACACCCTCCCCTTTAAGTTATAATTTTTGGCTGCACCCCAGACCAACTCAGACAGCCTGGGTGGCCTTCTGAGGTGACTCAGGCTGGAGGTGGCTCTCTCTCCCCTGGCTCTGCCGTGCAGAGCTGGCCCAAGCCCCACCGGGCCCGGCCCCAGCAAAATAAAAGTCAAACTACGCCTATGGGGCCTGGCCGAAGCTCCAGCACCCCGCAGAGCTAAAGTCCCAAGGCGCCCTCAACACCCCCTCTCCTCTGTGTCCTGGAGTAGTTATAGCATGTTGGGGAGGGGCTCAAAAAGAAAACATTGGAGAACCCCTGGTTTAAAGGAAACCTCACCAGTTTATTTCATCTGGTTAATTAGTTTTTCATATTTATTGCCTCATAGTAACAAAAGACCCTGTTGCATACTCCTGGTGGTTTGGGTCAAGTAGATCAGAAGACTCAACATTCATAAGTCTTAAGATTCTCCCTTCCCTGAAAAACCAGAATGTCAGGGAAAATGAATCCTTTCCCCCAAGTCATGCACTAGGTGTGCATACACTTAAGTTCAGTATTTAGTGGCATGAGTTGCTGACAATTCAGTCGTTTAGATGAATAGAGGATTCTTACAGTTGCTACACTACTAGGGGTGCTGAATTGTGACTGCTTGCTTTGAAGACCTCCATGATTCAAGAAGGAAATCTGTTTTTACCCTTTTTAAAATTATTTTAAATAGCATTATCCTCTTAATATGGATAGAAACCATATATAGCCGATCTCCAGCACAAAGCTGAAACTAAGATCTTGTGGGTATGGTTCACTGAACGATACATAATAAAAACTGGCAGTAAATGCCAAAAATTCAAACAACTGGGGAAACAGTATTAGACAAACATACATGCAGCTTGCTAGTCATATTACTAGGGTTCAGTGAAATTTCTAAGCAAAAAAATCATGAGTGAAGCTGGCTTGTTGGATTTTTATGAATGGAAAACATACTACCTGCAAGGACCCGGAAGCCACCTTTCCTTGTGTCAACTTCAATGAATTAGCGACCTCTTGTTCATTAAGTATAGTGAGACATATTTCTAGAGTACATCTGATTTGCCTTTTCCAATGTGGGTCCTCTTCCTGTATTTCTAAATTGCCTATAATAATCCACCTAACCATGAGATCAGTGAAAAAAGTAGAGTATGTTCAAATCAAAAAGTGACAAGAAATGGCCGTAGTTTAAGAATGTGTATGGTACTTCCACTCCAGATAGATATATATATATTTGGGACACTGTTTATAAGTACATCCTGTTTATGGTATGGGCTGTTGAGAAATAAGCCATGGAAAATTGAGATGTGACTAATATAATACTGTTTGATATTTTACTACTAGAATGTCATTACATGTTGTTAGAATAAAAACTTAAAAAATAAAAAAGCTTACAGTGAAACATTTTTACTTTTAAAAAAGGACTATTAAAAACTTAATGAATACTTGTGCTCTATGAAATATGTTCACAGCACAAAAATATGGTTTGCTGCTTAAGAAACTCAGCAATTAAAATACAGAGCTTACCAGTCAAGGGATAGCTGAGTCCCATGGCTTTTCTCCTTATGGTAATGGGGAGCTTAAATAGGTCAGTGAACCTGTCTGATGTTCAGTATCACTTGGTAAGTATAAGTAATTAATGTATTTGTTTTTGTCACGAATAGTGTTTTCTATTTTAAATACAAGTAAAAGTGTAACCGTTTTGTAATTATAAGATTGTGTTTTTTTAAGTTCCAAATGTTAACTGATATTTCAAAAGTGAAGTCTCTTCCTGGATTAAGTCTTAAGCATCAAAGATGTACAGTACTTGTTTGCCATTGTTCATGTTATATTGTTACAACAAAATTGATATTTTATTCCCTAAGCAAGTTTTTGTTTAATGTTATCAATTATTCATTTTCTAGAATGCATTAATTACCTTTGGACTGTGCATAGTATTTATCTAAAACGTAATAATTATTCCACTGACTGCCCGGAAAATTACCTTTGGTTGCTAATGTTAGCTCACTGGAAATGTTACCCAAAAGAATAAGATGTAGAGAATGATATGGGGTATATATAGTGCTTTAAAGAGTGTACTTTTGCAACTTTACCTCCATTCATCCATAAAACTACTAAGTACAGAAATGTAAGACACTTTTCTCATCTTCCAGAGCTGTGCTAGGCTTTTTTATGAAATCATAAATTTTCCAGAACTTCATTCCATACATTATTATAACTTTCTTATTAAAGATACTCTCTTAGGCTAGTAAATACACTAAAAAGTACATTAATTGGGCTATTCAGGGGCAAAAAATTCCATGGAAATTGGAGTGAGCTAATAATTGACATTTAGAATGTGGCTTGAAATGTTAAGGCACAGTAGAAGCATCAAGCAACTTGTAATCTACTTCCAATGAGTAGATTGTAAAAGTTATAGCAGAACTTTTTGGATTCCTCAGTGGACATTAATAGTTTGTTTTTTGTTAAGCTTTTAAAAATAGAGAGAGAGTAAAGTAGTAGAATAGGGAGACAGAAACACAATGAATTGTTGCATGGAGGTTGATTCAGTAATCTTAATTACACAACTGGGATGTTAGTCTGTAAATTCATAGCAAGCTATAAACGTCTAGATTACTCAGTCTCCAGTGTTACCTTTAGAATTAAACACTAGAGTTCAGTGCTGGATATAGTTTTAAAATATTTGTGTTGTCCCCTTGTTTTGTCAACAATAAAAATAATTTTATGTACCCATAAATCTACTTTATTTCTATTTTTTTTAGTAATAATTGTCAGTTATAGCTAACGGTCATGTCTACTCAAAGCAATCCCAAGCATATTGCTTTGGGTAGGACTATTTGAGAAATACAGTAGCTCAGTTGTAATTTTGTTTCAGACTGAAGTTTGTCATGCAGTAGGTTTGGTCATCGAAACCTATTTGTTGGTTTAGAGGGAAAATATATGGTATCAGTTTGCCTTTTAGATGAGACGGTCCATAGTTCTATTAGAATGGATTAAAAAAATAAAGACTGTGAACACTCATGTTCCAGGTCATTAGGGAGTTAGGATCAAACTTTCCCTATAGCCAGGTTATTTTATAATTGTCCATTACAGGATTTTCTTGCACCTTGCTCTGAAACATCTGATTCCTGATTAGTATGTTAATGTCTGTGTTTCTGTGGAGGTCAAGTAAGGGCTGAGGAGCAAGTACTCTTAATGCTCAGGTACTGGGTTGAAGTCTGGGAATCATAATATATAGGTTAACTATGAGGACTCCTGGGAGTTTTTCCTTCCTACTATCATAGGAATATAACCACCCATGGTATGATGGTTACAGTGTGTACTCAATGCACAAGGAGCACCACATCCAGGAGGGCTAGAAGATCTGTTAGAAATGACTAATACGATTTCTGCTTAAACTGGTTAACAGCATATAATTTTAAATCTCCTCTAATAAAATGCTTCCTTTTTCAGAAGCCCCCATGAAAAGAAGAAGAAACGACGGTCTAGATCATGTACCAAGTCCAAAGCTAGGTCTCATTCACCATCCATGTCACCTGGCAAACAGTCCACACATAAGAACTCTGTACGTTCAACTAGTGTATCTCCTGTGGAGAGTAGGGAATCCAGCCAAGAACGCTCCAGGTAACACTTTCACAACGGCATATGGGGATACTGACAGCTTTTGACCATGAATGTACCCTTTGATTGGATTTGTGCAGGGAGAATTGTAATACAAGTTATGTAGAGCTACAAGAAGTTAGGGCTGTGTGCCACTGTGGTTTTGGGGTGGGGGGTACTAGAACTGTGCTGGGTACCTGAGATTGTGAGGAACCCTATGAGACTCTCAGGGCCAAATTTTAAAAAGGGTGAATTTTCTAATAAACATTTCAGGCGGGAGGAAATGATAGAGAACTCAATTGCCTGAAGAGCATGTGTAAAATGTGAGAGATGAAATAGTCATTTAAGGGAGGCACAACAGGAATAGTGCAACTTTTCCATAAACACATCTCAGTGCAACTTGAACCAAAGTGATACTATTGAGACCTCCATAATCTAAATCCTACAGTTAAAATGTGGTTAATGTTACTAAAAATCATAATACTTCATTGGGATGGATTTCTTTAAGTTTCTCCTTTTGATTGTAATTGTTATTGAGGATTCATAAGTGAATTACCCCATTGAGTAGAGTCTGTTCACAGTTCCTACACTGATACTCAGAGCTCTCTATAGCAGTAGTTCTCAAACTTTTGTACTGGTGACCCCTTTCACATAGCAAGCCTCTGAGTGCAACCCCCCCGCCCCCCTTCTAAATTAAAAACACTTTTTATATATTTAACACCATTATAAATGCTGGAGGCAAAGCGGGGTTTGTAGGCTGACAGCTCACGACCCTCCGTGTAATAACCTTGTGACCCCCTGACGGGTCCCGACCCCCAGTTTGAGAACCCCTGCTCGATAGCATTGGCCACAGGTATGTGAGAGAGAACCTCTGTGACAGTGACCTGTATTGACTATAGTCCAGTGAAAACTATTGAGCAATCTGAGGGAGGCTCATGCACATACAAGACAGAATTGTTGCATGAGATATAGCTAGAAGATGTATACATTTCTAATTCTTAACTTTTAATTTTTAGGGGCGTTTCTCAGGAAACAGATGGCCAGATCTCTTCAGCAATCGTGTCTTCAGTGCAAAGTAAAATAACTCAGGTATGAATTAAGACACTCTCTATTGTTTACTGAAGTGTATTACCATTGTTGTAGCATGCTCCTTTAGATATTTTGTACAATTGTATGATGTAGAACAGGGATTGGCAGCCTTTGGTATGCGGCTCGTCAGGTTAAGCCCCCTGGCGGGCCGGGATGGTTTGTTTACCTACCGTGTCCGCAGGTTCAGCCAATCGTGGCTCCCACTGGACGCGGTTCGCCGTTCCAGGCCAATGGGGGTGGCGGGAAGCGACCGGCCAGCACATCCCTCGGCCCATGCCGCTTCCCACAACCCCCATTGGCCTCGGAATGAGACCGGTGCAAATTCAGTCATAAGTGGCAAAAATTACTGAGAGCCTAATCTTCCATGCAATGTCTTTTGTTGAAGAACCCATCTTGACACCAGGTTTGCAAAGCTCGCGTGGGGGGAAAATCATATTTCTTGTAAACTGTCGATATTTAATATTTATGTCACTGAGACAAACATGGATGCCATTTTTACTGAGACACTTTTCAGAGCAGAACTGCTTCTGTTATATTAAACTTTTACTCTTTACTTTTGCTTAAACAGTTGTCATTGGTGGGAAAGCTTAACTCAGACATAGGGGTGATAAAATAGAAGTAGAAAAGACTATTTATAGAAATTGTTCAGTCATTGGCAATATTGTTCTGCATAAAAATATCTGCCGGCTACAGCTAGAAAATTTCAGGTAAGTCTTGGACACTGACCTAGAATCATACTGTACTATCCAGATGAGTGAATTTCAACAGTGATAAGATCACCCTGTTTTTGGAAAATCATAATTGGAATGCTTAGGCATAACGGGAGAGTTAAAAAGAGGTGAAATGACTTCCAGTTGAAGTGCAATCTGTATGGTATTTCACAAGAAATATAGATGGAATGTAGAGGTGTAAGAGATGTGAGTGTTGTGCTTGGAAATAGGAAACGTTTCATTCCGAGCTCTGGGGAGGAGTTTTGACTGGCCATGCTTCCCTCTCCCCATTTACCCCATGGTTTGCTGTGGGGTTTTGTTTTGTGCTGCAGACTTTATCCTCCATGTGTGTGAGATGTGTACAGAGAGTGGTATGTAAAACCAGAAGTCCTAGTAGGTAATGGGCCCTTCATATCTGCAAGGGCATGCTTATCTCTCTGCATCTGTAATTTTTATAGATTGGGGTGTTTTTTTACTACTGTGTCTGTGGATGCTACACGTCCTACTAAAATTTTGGCTGAAAATAGACAAAAATAATACATTCTAAAGTTTTTCTTCTGGTGCTGAATTATAAATCTAAAAATAGGTTATTTCCAACAGGAAGTACCCTTAAATATAATAGTGCCGCAAGAACCACTTTTTTAAAAACAGATGTAGTAAGACTTATTTGCCAGTTCGGCATAATATAGCTGTACATTACTTTGCTGTGGATCACTACATGACGTCAACATCATGAAAAGCAGTCGATAAGAGCTAGATATTATCTTTTAGCCTATGTATAGCAAGTCATCTTTTGACATGCATTATGGAAGATGGATATTACTCTTTTGAAGTAAACACATTTTTAGTAATTTTGCATTTGGTATTCAGAAGTTTTTTTCATATATTTTGTAGTCATAAAGCTTTATGGAAGCCATCAGATTCAACTTACCTAAAATGACAGTTCTTTTGTGAGGCACGGTCTCTACTGGATATTGGCAGGACAGAATTAAGTGCTATGACTCTCTGGACAGCAGCTCTCTTATATTTCATTCTGACTTCGTAGAAGTACTTGTTGTTTGTTCAAAATACTATTCCCTAGTGTTCTAAAGGTGAATTTTAATTGCTGCAGCAAGAGTCTTCTCCAAATTCTCTTTTTTGGGGGGCGTGGTACCATTGGAATCAGAGTATCATGAAAATGAAAGTTTATGCTGCAGTGTATGCCCTTCATCTCGTGTGTATTGTGTATGGCCACTGCCTCGGTTCCATTCTTTCCACCTACTCACCTCACACACTTTCTACCCTATCGTTTGTTGTTTCATTTCTCTTTCGTATTTTTATTTTTTTACAGTGAGATTTAATTCTTAGCTATTTAAAAAGTTTGCTAGCTAGTTTATAATTATCGTATATGATTTTGTGAAATCAAGAGGGCAGTGCTCTGGGAAACTTACCAGTAGGACTGCTGACTTCAGTGCAGAGAGTTATACATTTCAAACTCTTGATTAAAAACTAAGGGAATTCTGACTATTTTTCCTCTATTCTCCCTACAGGATCTTATGGCCAAAGTGAGAGCGATGCTTGCAGCTTCCAAAAACATACAAACTAGTGCCTCCTGAGACTTGTTGAAGTGACCATCAAGAAAACGGTGTGAAGAGGAACACTTTAAAAAACTGCCTCATCTCAAATGTACAGCCGGCAAATTTTGCTCATTTTGGTTCAGTTCTCTTTTGTCTAAAGTTATCAAAACCTGAAGAACTGAAAACCTTATCTGTACAGAACTGTCCCGTTGGAACTTCAATGACTTTTTGCACCCAGAATCTCTCTTGACAGCTTTTGGTTTTTGTAAATTGATTTTTTTGACTAATTCTTCAGTAAGATTTTATGATCAGCAGTCTGTCTGTATATATGTAAATATCATGTTTCTGTGATAAAGTATTACTCAATAAAAGAGGAGAGAAACATCTTTTATTAGCTACACACTTGTTGGAAGTTGCTTAAGTGTGAGTGTTTTTTTCTTTACTTTCTTTTAAAGCAGTTCTTCAGGCAATGCTGTTGCTAAGTTGAACTGAAAAACACCTTTCAGCTTCTTTAGTTCATCAAATGATCTAAGCACATACATTGCTCAGCATGTTACACCAGAGTTGGTTTTCATACGGACTACAGAATTTTTTTATCCTTTATTAAACTCCAGTGTGCAGAGCACATTGGAAATCTCTGTTGTTTTCAGTAACAGCCCCCTTCCTTCTTCAAGATGAGCCTCTGCATTTTCACACTTAAGGGATCACTGTTCCTGCCTTGTGAGCATCTGGAGCCTTCTGGAACCTGGGCCAGTGGGGCCACTTGCCCCTCTCTCCAGGGCCGGCTCTAGGCACCAGCAAAGCAAGCAATTGCTTGGGGCGGCAGATTTGCAAGGGACGCAAGAATCCAGCATGGGAGCTGAGAACCAACATGGGGCCCTGGGAGCTGTAGTTCCTTGGTTAGCTCCCTGCCCATAGAGCCAGCCCCGGAGCAGGGAAAGAACTACATTTCCCAGTATTCCCTTGGCCACTAGCAACAGGAAAGGGTGTGGGAAAGGAGTATGGAACTGAAATCTGCAGCTTGCTGTGAATGGTAGGAACAGAGCCAGCTCTAGGTTTTTTGCCGCCCACACCCCCTGCTGCCCCAGCCCTGGCCCCCACCTCGCACTCCCCTGCT